ATGAGTAAGCTGAATTGTTTGACTTACCTTCAAAGAAACAGAGAAACTGAAAATGATACGTTTCCCTTAGCATACTCTTAACCATATCCTACAGGAATAGCAAGTTACGATGCGCAAGGATCAGCTAGCATAAAAATTGTTTCTCTCACCATAAAAATTTCCTTCCTTTGAATTAATTAAAAAAAACCACAAAAACCCACAAACAAAAAACCCCTTGCTTTAGAAAATAAAGTGTTTTAGAAAACACAGAAGAGTTATTAAGAAAAGAATGATTTTTGTCGTTATTTATTAAAAAAACTTCTAAAGAAATATTTCTGTTGAGATCATTAGGTGTGTTGGTATTAAAAATTATTATTTATTTTACAGGAAAAGTTTTCAAAGTTTGGACCAACTTTCAGCAGACGTCAGCCTTTCTCAAACCTCTCTGGATCCAGGTCACTCACAGGACGGAAAGCAGGATGGAATAAACTTGTTAAATGAAGGTATGAGATGCATCTTTGGTCTGGGACATTGGACTGCATATTTTCTCCATTATTATGCAATTTTTTTCAGTTTCTCTAAGGGCCATTGTTAACTTCCAAATACGTTTGCATTTATCAAGTCTGTTCCTTGACTCCCAATAATTATAGGACTTTGTGCTTTGTGCCAAGCTTCAAATGTGTTTCTTCTCCAACACAGAACCTGAGAAAGGCGTCTTCCTCCTTTAGCTAAATGGAATATTTAAAGTTACTTTTTCCCTTTTCTGGATTATCTCAGTGGTGATCCCATTCTGCTCCTCTTTCAAAAGAGAAAACTTAAAGGAACATGCTGTGGGCAGTGCTAATATAGAAATGCAATACACTGTCCCCTTCAAAATCTGTGTGTATACAAAGTTTACCTGCTCCATCTAGTGGGCAATTGTGAAAAGCAGAGAAATGCTTGGAGAAGTTGTGGAACAGCAGTATTTCGGGCACAGAAGTGAAATTGCTGTAAGAAATTTCCTGTATCTCACAAGATACCAAATTCATGCAGACATTTACTTGTTTGTAACTTCAAAATTCTTGACTTTAAAAATACTATGAATGCAAACTTCAGAACTTTTTAAAAACAGTGAGCAGAATTAAAGTCTGAATGTTTCAAGTAGTGTAGAAAAATAGAAGCAGCATGTCTGTAATGAAGAGTGTTCTTCTGCTGATTCACTTCCAACAGCTGAGTGTGGGGTTTTTGTTTTGTTTTCAGTGTTAATCTTTTGAAGTTTATACTTTCTTTTCCATCAATTGAGATGTAGTGACAACACAAGTATTGTCTTAAGTTTTGATTTCAGGACTCTGTCTTCAAAGGAGGCATGACGACCTACTTCTAAATGCGTGAGGTCCATCAGCACCAAAGCTTTAATATGGTTCCGTAAGACATGATATTTTACCAGCAGGATCGCATGCCCCCTGTGTACATCTCAGAGTGGCAATCTTTCACATTACTGTTGAACAAATTGTGTAGTCAGGTTTTATTTTCGCATGACGAGTTCAAGAACCATACCTAGAAAGTGTGAAGCTGCTCTTGGTTTATGTCCTCAAATAAATTAGAGTTCTTAAAATGTAATTTTAATGGGGATTTTTCTAAAAATGAAGACTTCCTAAGGAGTTATCGAGTTCATTCTTTAGGAAAGCTCTTTGGTCATTTGAGAAAAGCTCAGTAGAAGAGGGATCTAAAATCCGTTGGAAACTGCTAGTGAGAACTGTATGCGATGCGAGTGAACCGTGTCTGTTTGTTTGTTTTCCAAAATTGCTTGAGGCAAGGTATCCTTTGTTATTTTTCTTGCATCCTTCTTTACAAAAATGAAGTGTTTCTATCAGGAAAAAGTCGCAGAGTTTTAACAAGTGCTGCTTTTTAGACGTGATTTAAAAAGATTGGCCAGGTGAAGTCTTATGCCTCTGACCCTTCTAAGCTGCTTTTAAACTTAGTTTATGGTGATCTATTTTATTCTGCAGGTGATCCAGAAAGATGAAACAGGGAGATATATTGGTAATCAGTTTCTTTATAACATTATCTATTAGCTGAATTGGCACAAAATAACATGCCTCAAGTTACCAAGAGTTTAAATAAATAAATAAAACCAAACATGTTTACTTTCAAAGCAATGCGTTCTGATTACAGTTAGTTCTAATCCTATTCAGTTCTATTCAGAAAATTAGCACTGGGGTACTGATGATGCATTTGTGAAATCATTTCCATTTAGTGTACTCAACTAAAGCCAGTGCTTGAATTAGTGTCTTCTGAGCCTCTCTTTGTGGGAGGCTGACTACAGCCCAGTCAGTGATGCAGAGGTAGGAATCTCTATTCCACATCAGTGGGGAAGGTTGGAATTAATGATGTCTGAGTGCATTTGTGAGGTATGTATGTGCTGAAGCAGTAACATATAATTCATACTAACTTAAACAAAACTTTTTTTTTTTTTATTTATTCCTTCATTTTTTTGTGTTCAGATCATCTTTAGCTGTGATGATTAGCTTAATTCTTGTTTTCTTTAACAGGAAAGGAGGACACTCCGTCACTGCTTGGTCTTTGTGGTTCTCTTACTTCAGTGGCAAGCTATAAATCTCTCACAAGTCTGAAATCAAGTGAATATCTTGCAAGTCCCACGACAGAGATGACAAGTCCAGGCTTAACACCATCTTGAGATGCACGCAAGCAGGAAGGACTTTATGTTGTATGCATTTGGTTTATGTTCCACAATATGACTTCCAATGAAGACTGCTAGTTCAAAGGCAAAAATAAGCTGCTTTATTTTTTCTTCTCGTGGTTACCTGTTTAATTCTCCAAGTCTTCATTCCAGCTTTTCTTCCCCCCGAGGGCTTTTTCAAATTTCCTGCTTTAGTCCTGAATTGTTTAACTCTTGGTCAGGTACAGGACACACATTCTGGCGCTTCTGACTGATTTTTAAAATGAAGCAGTTGGAAATCAGTCTCCTACTTAACTGCCACAACCTTTGTTTCTCCTTGCAGTGGTTATCAGCCTGGCTCTACTATAGCCTGGTGCTTCTCTTCAGTGCTCTAAAGATCAACTCTTGCAGAAGAGACAGGAAAACTTAAAGCCAGTCTTTGTAGGCAAATAAATATTTTACTTAAAAATCCATATTTTCATCTGTGTGTGTTGCATAGGACCTCAAATAGCGTATTTAACCTATCAAGAGCTCTTCTCAAGTTGATTCAGTGTTAGATTTTGCATTCCTATTAGCATCATGGCAGTAATGAGACAGCTGAATCACACTGAAGAACCACACTGAAGCACTCTTAGTAATTCTTAAAGTTGCATGACAATAACAAATGTAAGTTGATCATCTAAGTCAAGCATACTTAGCAAATTGTAAATATTGAGGAAGCTTGCCAAATTCCAAGCTTTTGAGTGACCTGGCTTACAGATAATTTAATATTATATGAGAAATTTCTTGGCTTATTGGTCTTACTGGAAAAAGAAGGACTGAGGAAGATGGGGTTAGCTCCTTGCAAAGTTTGGCTCATATTTATTGGCAAGATTACAGTTACAGTTGGTTTGTCTCTTGTAATGGTACCTTGGCACTACAACAGTCTGGTCATTGTAAGGTGGGCTGGAAAGAAAGAGCATTCGCTCTCACCTTTACAAAAATCACTGAAAACATTCAGCTAAGCAGAGTGAAAAAGGGGAAACAAAGGCAATGTAATGACAGTATTCTCATGCTAAGGGTTGTTCTCATTTCTGTAGTAGTGCAGTAGGTATTTTCCTTGATTAGGTAATACAGCAGAACTTACTTAGGTCAGTTTTCTCAAATTATTTGCCATTGATTTAAATTACTGATACAAACAGCCTGTAACATTTTTTTAAATGAAACTAACTTTCCAGATTAGTCTACAGTTTCAAAGTTTGCAAACTAATTTTTGAATTGCAAACTATATTCTTAATTCTTTGTAAGATATAATGGATCCTTTATCTAAGAATTTTGCTAATCAAGGTAATGCTTCTCAATATGATTAGTAACTTTTTAAACAAATCTTAAGTGCATGTAAGTATGTTGTATTTATAAGTGCTAGGGCAAATGCTTTTTTTGTGCCAAAGAAGTTTCATAAATTGTTTACATGATAGTTGCAATACAAGACAGATTTTCAATTGCTTACTCTCAGATGTTTACAGTACGTCACTACACTGTATGGTTTTAGTTGGTTTGCCTCTTGTAATGGTACCTTGGCACTACCACCATAATCTTCTCGTTGTAGGGTGGGCTTGAAAGAAAAGAATTCACTCTCACCTTTACTAAAACCACTGACAGCATGAGCCTCACGCTTAGAGAGGCTGAAGTCTCTGTAACTTGAGGCACTGCTGGATTTTGCTGCGTGTGGTTCAAGCTGTATCTGCTGAGCTCTAGCCCATGGTGCTGGAGGTTACTGTGTCCATGGAGAAAACAAGGGGGAGGCCATTCCTACAAGAAATTTTACAGCGGCTTAGCAAAATCCTACAGGCCTTATTTTTTTTAATCCCTCATGAAACCATTCAATTAATTTCTCTGTAACGAACTCAGAATATCACATCCTTTCACACACTGTCAGAATGTCCATTCCTTCTTGTGACTGTTTTTGGTTGTTACACTTAAGTACCTGTTCTCTCCTGGTAGTTGAGTAACATTAAATACTGATTTATAAGTTAAAGAGTGCATGTCTACTGTGAATACAATACAAGGGAATCCAGATTCCAAAGTTAACATCCTCCATCGAGGTGTAGTGATTTAATCAGTCTCGTTTGCTGTTAAACGCTTCTCCCACTTCATCAGTGTTTTGGAGGGGACTATGATCATGATCTTCAGTCATGTTAGCTGATGGCTCTTTTCTTGGAGCTACTGGTGTGAAATTCACGTGTCATTTAACTGAAGTCTTTTACGTAGTCTGACACTGCTGTGAGTTTCTGGGTGTCATTTTGTGCATGGGAAATCAGTTGTGTGTCTTTCTCAGTTTTAAACATTAATCATTTTTCAGAAAAAAAAAAAAAAAACACACTGAAAAAATGCCCAAACTGTATGTTTTGTTGCCTTGACGTTCCATGAATGTTGCATGTAAATTAAACATTTTGTATCATCGTTCATCACTAGTTTTTGTCTCTGTTTTAATCAAACAAAAGGTAAAATAAGAGCGTTTGGCAAATCCCAGTATTAGTGAATTTGCAGCAAATTCTTTCTCAGACAACAGAGAGACGTTGTTGCTGTATCCCATGTGCGGCCCAAAATCTGCTGTTACGGCTTTTTGTCTTTTGGCTCTCTTGGCTCTTTTGACTATAGAAGCTCAAAATAAGGTGTAAGCTTACTTTTATAATCACAACAGGGGGAACAATGTCAAATGTCTGCCACGGCAAGAGGTCCTGCCTGCACCATACGCTATAAACTTCTTGCCTAATGTCTCTCCCCACAACTAAGGTGTTTTCAGAGTGTGTGCTGAGTTTTTACCAAGGCAAAACACACACTGGGACGCCTTCAGAGTAGAATAAGACTTTGCTGTCTATGCAGACTATGCATGGGAAATGCTCCCTGGAAGGGAGCCTGCCTCTGTCTTGGAGCTTTTCTGGGATCTACAAGGTGTTATGGGGGGGTCACAAACGTGTGAATGTTCTGGAATGTTCCTCCAGCACACTAGCACAGCTGGTTTCAGTGCCTAGGTGTGCTTCCCAGTAAGAGCATGCACTAAAAATACTATCTTGAACTAAAAAGCCACTGCAGCACTTGGCAGTGGATTTGTGATGTTCTCTGGGATTCTAATAGCCGCTATGTTTTTTCCAGCTTGACCTGAAACACTTCTTGTTATAAATAAACCTGAAAATCAAAAGTATCCATTTGCACAAATTATGGAGCTGCAAATAAACATTCATGCAATTGAAAAGGTATTAAGCAAGCTTAAGCAAATCCTTATTGAATTTACTCTCTATCAGCCTCCTTACAGAGATGTCTCTTCCTTGGGCTACCTACAGTATTGTCAAAACATTACTTTAAACATCCAACAAAATATTTAGTCAGACTGAAGATTAAGAGTGGCAATTGTTATTCTTCATCATTTTGGCCAGGCTTATTTTTTTCCTTTTTAATCATCACTGAGGAACAGTCCAAGTGCCTTTTTTTTTTTTTTTTTTTTTTTCTTCCCCTTTGTAGCAGCAAGAGAGAACTCTCAAAATTTTCAGTAACCATTTCAAGGCCGTGTATTTTTCTTAAGGGGGAAAAAATAGCCAATTTATCCTTTGTGAAATAGTGAAAAAATGAAGTTTCTCCATGTGTTTTGACTTCATGCAATTGGATGAAGGAGTCTTAAGGATGCTGGTTTGTCTTTTCATTTAAATGTCTGAAGAAAGCCTTCCCATATTCATATGTGCTGATCATTATGGCACAAGAAGGAGCAACTTTAAACAGCCGTGGAGTAATACCTGCCCAGAAAAGAAAGGAAAGCATTCATTCTCATCTGTTTTCACATTGAATCACTCTAGTGCCATTAAATGGTCATATTATATTGATTCCAGACTATAACACTGTAGCATTGGGATGTTCTTTGTATCCACGTTTCTCAAAATAGCAGTGTTACTGATGAGAGACGTTACCACTGTAAGGACGTTATGCCCTCACATCTGTCATCTGTGCAGGCTGCCTGACTGAAGCACCTCCTATTTCTGCCTGCTTGTCTTCCCACAGAGGTGGAGCAGCCCGACCTGCAGGCTGCTGTGCTCCAGGCCAGCAGAGGTGGCTATGGGGGCAGGCTGGGCCCTCCCTGCAGCATCAGTGCAGAGCTGCTGGCATAGGAGGAGCAGAGGCTGGTGGCCTCTCAGCTGGGACGAGACATTCAAGAAGGCAGGGACACGATTCCCTCTGCATGTGTGCACGTCTGTTACTTTGTCTGTTTCTTTACAATCTGTTCTGTGACAGTGACTGTGTGTGTTCACAAAGATGGAAATACATAATTTGTGCATGCTAATATCTAACAATGGCTTGTTAATAATCAAAAAACTTTAGTGTGATTTTTTAGAAAGATGTCAAAAGATTTACCAGCAAATAATCCAGCAATCCCTTTTTGAGCAACAATTTTCCTCATAACTGCCCAGGTAGACGCACTGTCCCTCTGTGGATCTCAACGCAGTACAACAGAACAGTGAATTAAACAGTACAGACAATGCCACAGGAAAAAAAAATATTAAAAATCAAATGTTGCTTTGGATGCAATGATAAGCTTCAATTTATCTTAACTTATAATTTAGGTATGTATATATGAAGTTATTTATATAGAATGTTAAATTCATGCAGTATGTAAATTAATATTGAAGTTAAAATAGATGACATAGAAAAAGATCACAGTAATGCCTAGAGTAAATTCTACAGAGACAATATTTGCTACTGGAGTAACTGACATAACTGAAAATATTGCATAGCTTTCACATGAGCTTATCTCACTCCAGGTCACATTATACATGCGGCTAAAAGATCGTTTTCAAAAGTGAACTTCTGTTAATGGTAAGGTGGATCTAAAGGTAAGTTTTGAGAACTGATATAATGAGTCATAAGAATGAGTGTAATAATTAAGGTAGGACACTTTGCAGATTTTACAAAAGCTTGAAAAGTCTAAGTTGATGAAAATCATCTCACACCCCCAAACCATATACGTTTGAGAAATGGTGGATCTATGAGATGTAGGCTGCAGGCCCTGGTAGAGATGATTCAGATACTGTGAGCAACTGCACCAAGAAGCCATCTGCACTGCAGACATGTGCAACTGCTTTAAACAGAGGAGTTTTTTGTGGTACTTCACTCTGCACGTGCTGTTTTCCTTGATCTGTAATATGGAAGAAGCCAAGATCTTAGTTTTTTTAGATAAAATTTCATAACATGCATTTATGAGGAACATCCTACAGCATCTGGAAGCTGTGAAATATTTTGGCAATAGTAGAGAAACTGTAGATGCGTTGTCAGGATCCAGCTCTGACAACTGCATTTGGAAAGAATGCAACCAATACCAGTTAGAGATTACCATACTGAAATTTAAAACATATATCTAATTCGTATCAGCCAAATAAATATTAGGCAGCTAGCTGTGATTCAAAGAGGTGTTCAAAGAGCAACAAATTCTTACATTCATCAGTACAAGGGAAGAATCGAAACACAGTAACAATTTATATTTGACTTTATAAATCTCAAGCAGTTCCACGGAAGAAACATAAATGTCTTTCAAGAATTACGCCAGAAAAAAGGTATTTTACCTAAGAGAATGAAACCTTATGCCAAAATGCAATCAGTGTGTTTTCATGATATCTTTCTGGACGAGTGCCTTTAAATGAGCTTCTAAACAGAACCTCATTTCTGGTTACTCCATCTTTCTACTCTTATTTAATCTTAAAGCCATGATCTAACTTGTGTTCAGGTTAATAGAAGTCCCTCACTGATTCCCAGGTGATGGAAAGCTATATTTTCACATACAACTTGAATTGCTCTAAAAACGTAGTGGCGCTCTACTGAACTGAGAACAAAAAGAAGAAATCCCTTTGTCCTTTAAAATTGATGGGGTAATTACTGACATGCCCTCAAAAATCAATTCCTTGAAATCACACACCAAAAAAATGGTTAAAAATACATAACCTGAGCAAAGAAAGCACTTTTTCTGCAGCTTAAACTCCAGCAAAAAACCAATATTGTTATTAAATAAAATGTGTTAAGAGTTACACGGCTGTTTTTATTTTCTAGTATCAACTGGTAGTGAATGTGCAAACATTTTTTCACGTGATTTTCATCAACTGAAAAGACTTTTTCAATAGAACCCAGTTCACATGCGTGTTTTATAAGAGCTGAAATATTTCCCCATTCACATAGGAACGTCTGTAAGTTGGCAGTGAGTCTGCCTTACTGTAATAGTTCTGGATTTTCTGTTTGTAATTTATATCACATATTACTATGAGTTGTACTTTCCTCACACCTTTTCCCTCTGTGTCATTTATGAGATACTGTTTTTATCCTAGGAGATAAGTATTATTGTACAAAGTGTTTCAATGTGGAAAAGACAAAAATGCTTAGTGATATCATAGAGAAACTGAAGAGATGAATATTTAAAGTGCCTATCAAAAATCCATATACCTAAGCATTATGTCTTTTGGGTTCTGTTTTTTAAATTGCGGCTAGAAGAATCAGCTGCACTGCATTTATTAAACATGTGGATTATTATTAAACAGTTCTGCAGGAATTGCTGAGCAATCCAATCTGAAGGGAATTCTGAGTGTTCAACAGCAGACGTGGTTAGCAGACAGGCTAAAAACAGCTGTTTACAATGTTGTGACCTGCAACTTACTTTGTAAATTCTCACTCTCCCAAATTTCAGTCTGCCTCTGTGTTTTCACTACGTCAAATGGCAGAGTCACGACAGCTGCAATCTATTAGGAAAAATCAAGCCACAGTTCTACTGTTAGATTACCAACAAGTAAAAAGTCATTTTTTTACATTAAGCTGCACACAACTTAAAATTAGTTTAGTTATTCCAAGCACATTATCATCTTGTAGGTCCTTTCCAACCCTGAGATGCTATGGTTCTATCATTCTATGATCATTTCTGAGAGAATAATGTAAAGCCACTTCACTTGTAAGTAGATAAATAGTTGGTTAGTGACGATAATAAGAGTAGCAGTAGAAACAAAAATGTGTACTTACACAGCCCGATGCTGCTCCTGCAGTAAAAGCAATCAAAAAGGTTGGTTCATGTACACCTGCACTCTTGCACATCATCTTCTTGAAACGTTCATAATTATACCAGTACACTGCTGTGGTCAGAAAAAGCAAATCCAAAAGAAACAAACCTTGTACTACAACACATTTGTATTTCGGTTCAACTTTTTTATCAGTGACAGACGTAAGAACTCTACAGCAGTAATAGAATCAAAAAGAAACCAAATTTGAAAGGAAACCAGAATTGTTCTCTTTGACAGCCCATCCAGTTCACCTTATCTCCATACACATATTCCAAATTTCATGATATAAATTAGCCAAATCATTTTGTCATTCCCATAAAGTATCTCCTATCTTAAGACAATCTAACATAAACATTACAAAACTCATAGAACAGATTATTTTAATGTGATATTCTATAAATCAAAATTGAAGTTTCTAATTATTTTCCATGTTTCCAGGGATATTTCATATATTTCATACATCTTGGTAAAAACAAAAGTGTGTTTCATAGAAGATGAGAAGTTCCTCAAGCCTGTCTCATGCTCTTTTGGACCATACTATATAACATTTAATTCTGACACAACCAAGAAATATGGCTTTGCTCTCTGGAATTACTGAGGAAAGACTTGCCTTCCACAGTCCTCTCAGAGGCTTTCTGAGGAAAAACTTTCAGAAGTAACATCTATTTTTGTTCTCTTCTGCTGCAATAAGCTGCACTCTTTCTACTTTAATAAATTTTAGTTAGAATGCAGAAGTTACTGAGCTGAGTTACGGAGTGCTTCCTTGTGCAGTTGGTTGAATACATACTGCAAATGAGAGGTGTGCACCCTATAAGATAGCTGTGACTCATTCAGCACTGAGTTCTGCATCGTGTGGTGGTGGAGAAATATCAAAGTATTTTCTTGCTGTGGAAACCAAGCTTCCAGTAGTTTGCAAAAGTAAATTAGGCTGTATGTCTGAGATTGGGAAAACTTACTTTCGAAATACATGTAACCCTAATTTAGTATAGATTATCTAAATCCAAACTTAGAGCATGTGCAAGACTCCGTTCCTTCCGTACATTTCACATGTATGTTCTCTGCGACACTGCTTGATAACTCAACCGCTACTGTTAATCCAGCTCTTGTGCTTCTATCAGACACTCACACCTTGAGTTTTGTGCAAGTCAGCTTGCTGTCCAAGGAACACTGTGGAAGCTATCATTCACACTTGGGTTAACACAACACACTTGGGCTGCCCAGGGAGGTTGTGGATGCCCCGTCCTTGGACGTGTTCAAGGCCAGGTTGGACGGGGTCCTGGGCAACCTGATCTAAATGTGTATGTTTGGTGGCCCTGCCAGGCAGGGGGGTTGGAACTACATGATCCTTGAGGTCCCTTCCAACCCGGGTGATTCTGTGATTCTGTAACACAGTGGGACTCTATGCTGTGCTGCTAACACTGTCATTCTGTGCTACTTGAGAGTTCTCACAGAGCAGCTGCTTTCTTAATACAAACTGTTGCACTGACTTTAATTCCTCTAGAGAAAGCTAACTGCAGCGAAGGTGAGGACTGCTGTAAAAATACCAGAACCCACGATGCTGTTGGTGTCATTCAAAGAGAAGGTAATAAAGGAGCACATCTTAACTGCAGAGAGAGTATTTATAAGGAAAAATATTCAGAAAACACATTCTGAAACATTAATCAAGATTAAGTACTCATCATTTATATCATCAGCTTCGAGGCTTGGATACAAGAATGTGAAAAGAGTAGAGAGCACACACATCACCTTGGTTCCCTCCCCTTTGTGCACTCTCATACCAAACTGATCATTCCACTCTGTTAAAAGCATCAGAGGGAAAGACAACTGGCTCCTGCCATGTCTCTACAGACAAACATCAGTGGTAGAGCAAGAGTTTCTACTTGTAATCAGACAACAAGAATGAGAAGAAGAATTTTAGAATCCTTTTTGAAGCTCTAAGAGAAAAATGCATTTGGCAGACAGAGAAAATGAGCGAACTGCAAATAAATATTGGACAGGAAGCCCTTCAAGCAAAAGATGGATTTTGAATACTGTTCTCTTAGTCTTAAAGAAAGCGTTTGTTCACACGTTCAGAAGCCTTCCTTATCATGTAATGTGAAATTAAGTCTCATCAAGGAACAGCATATCCTTAAGAAGGAAATGCAGCATAAGTACTTTGTTTAAACATCTGCCAGTAGCAAAGCAAAAGAAAAAGAGTATTATTCATACTGAAAACAAAACACCTGAAATAGCAGTTATGTAAATTACCAGAACTAAGTGCAGCTCTAAGCTAAATATCTGAAAATGGGTTTGAAGCATTTCTCTGGACAAGGTGTTTAAAGGTGTGATTCCTGATACCATCCAAAGGACAGAGACAGCTTTGAGAACAACTACTGCCCGGTTATTCCCAAGTGCCCTGACAATGAAGGCCCTCAAAGAGACATGGGTTTTAACCACTGGCATTACTAAGTTGGAACACTGTCCTTCAGCACTCTTGTCCAATTATTTCCAAAGTGCAGAGACAGCAGAGCTTTAACAAAATGGGAGAACACGTGATCTCCTTTGTCCCAGTTATCTTGCAGTATAGCACTGGGTCAGACTTTTCCTGTAGACTTTCAGCTTTGAAGCTGCACTGCCAAGTGGTGCTCTAGTTTCATCTTTTCTGAACAGTTACACAAACTCATTCATCTTGCTAGCAAAAATGCCTGAAGACACTCACTACTGTGTTGCCCTGTCGTGTACATTTTTTCAAGATCAAGCATCAGAGCACAAATACAGAATGTCCCTCTATAAGGAAATAGCCAGTGTACCTATCGTAGAGAACATTTCCTACAAAAGCCTTAAAAACACACATTATGTAAGATGAAACAGTCTGAACACAGGGAAAGGGAAAAGTAACACTGAACACAATCTGGCATCCATAAACAAAATTACAGACAAACACTCAAAAGAGAAAAAGTAAATCTATTCTTAAAGCTAATCATTTTTGTAAAATAACATAAAGATACAAAAACTATGCAGAAGAATCATGAAAAAACGTATCTTACACGACGCAGACTTTCATCTGAAATAAACCCCACCTGAGAAAGGCACATCTCTCAGAACAGTAGTGCTCCAGCCTTTCCACAGGGAAAGCCACCCTTCTCTGGCCAATTTACTCCTGATGCTCAAGTGCAGTTGCTTGTAGGACAAGGTGTGATACTGCATTCTAGTTCTGATCAGCTCCAAGGGACTTACTACAGTCACTGAACCAACTGAAAATGAGAAAAATGTGGGGTTTTTAAAAAAATCAAGATTTACAAGTAACATTTCCTGAACATTAGAAGTTAAGTCTCACGTTGCCTTATATATTTGATGGAAAGAACCACAGAATGTCTTGGGTTGGAAGGGACCTTAAGGACATGTAGTTCCACCTCCCCAGCCATGAGCATGGACACCTTTCCTATATCAGGCTGCCCAGGATCCCATCCAACCTGGCCTTGAATGCTTCCAGGGATGGGGCATCCACAGCCTCTCTAGACAACTTGTTCCAGTGCTTCCCCATTCTCATGGTGAAGATTTTCTTCCTAATATCTAACCTAAATCTACCTTCTTTTAGTTTAAAGCCATTACTCCTCCCTGTCCTACCACTACACTCCCTGATAGAGTCCCCCACCAGGTTTCTTGCTGGCCCCTTTTAAGTCCTGAAATGCCACAATGAAGTCTCCGCAGACCCTCTTCTTCATTTTCAGATTGAACAAGCTCAGCTCCCTCAGCTTTTCTTCACAAGAGAGGTGCTCCAACCTTCTCATCAGCTCCATGGCCTCCTCTGGACACAGTCAACAGCTCAACATCTTTCTTGTGCTGGGGATCTCAGGCCTGGACACAGTACTCTGGGTGGGACTCCACAAGGGCAGAGTAGAGGTGGACAATCACCTCCTTCAATCACTGGCCACACTTCTTTTGATGCAGCCCAGGATAATGTGACAGCCAAAATAAATCACATCAGTCCAAGTAAGAGAGTTATATTACTGAAGAAATGGTGGGAAAATATAGGATTCCTTCCTATGCCCAGCTCCATGTAATATTACCCATTTTTAAAGCCACAACAAATTTGCTGAAAAAAGAGAATGAGGGGAGAGAGAGAGGAGAGGAAAAGCAGAAGAAATGAAAACAGAATACAGATGTTGCATTTCAGTTTTTTTCTCTAAACATGAGACAACTTACATCTGCTTAAGGAACCTGCAACAAGTGGAATGTGGTCATTATCCTCTCCTAGTCTAGATCTCAGAGCTTCACTCAGTTTTTCATAGCAGGTAAAATAGATTATTGTGGTAGGAAGGGCCATTATTCTAAAATATAAGAGAGGGAATCTGAATTAGTACAAGGAAAGCAGGAGAATGAAGTCAGCCATCTTGTATGGATATTTTGCTTAAGTAAGGAAACTGTGTTGGATCTTGCAGGTTACTAGTAACAGTCTAGACCAGCAAATATCACAGACTAACATTCTCAAACAATTAACACAGATCTTGTGATTTGCTGATGCTACCAATGGGGAAGTTACAGTACACAGGATACGTCTTCTAAAGGCAAAATGAAAAGTTAGATGTCCCTGATTATATAGTGAGAATATACCAAAAAGGTTGCAAGTTCTGGTGGGAAAGATACCACTCCAAAATGTTTCTGATCAAGCTGATGACACCATTATCTGTAACTTCAGATGCAGCAAATTTTTTAAAATCACTTATTTGTCTAAAAATGAAATTACTTACAGCGTTGGGGAAAGTCCACTCCAGAGGGATTTAATTCCCTCTATTTGAATAATTTTCACAAAAGCATCCTAAAAATATAACCAGGCAAAGAGCAATAATTAGCTGCAAAGCTTTTCTTCAGGAGTGTGTTTCTAAAACAGCTTATGTTTTGTAATTGCTTATGATAGCCATCAAGTTCAATGATACAAGTAGTTCCTCTGAGATGAGCAGGAATATTTGTGCTTGAAATTAACTATATTCTTCCATCTTTTCAGGGCCAAACTAGTAAGTTTTTCTTGGTAACTGACAGCCCTGTGAATAAGTTATCTTCAGAACAAATACAGCGGCCACAGCAGCCAATCTTCCCCAAAACTAATGACTACAATCTTATTTCAGTAAAGAACAAAGTTTCTAGGCATGAAATAGCAATTCACTCTTGATTCTTTGATACATTATTTTCCTGAAAAGTGACAAGATACCAGCAAATTGTATACGATATATGATATATTTGGAAGCTTACAACTTATCACAGCTGTCCATACATTTCCCAGGCCACTGACAGCAGAGGAACACTGAGCCTTGGTGGCCATTGAATTGAAAACGTCTTCAAGAGATAAATTCCCTAATATTAGGGAACTTATTTTTCTTAATCTTTTGGGAGGAAGAGGCTGAAATTTGACAGATTAGAATACGGACAAGATCGGGCTTTACTACAGGGCCTCAGAAGATACTGAACCCAACAGGTTACAAAAAGGGCTGGCACTAACATTTTGTTTTCTTCAAGCTTCTTTTGTATTTGTTAGTTCTGGATGTGTTCATAACGCTGAATCAAGAAATTTACAGTCCAGGAAGGTACAGATCAATGACAGGAGAAAGGATGCAACAAAATCCAGCGTCTGAGCAGCAAATGCATGTATTTTACTAATGGTCTGGGCAAACATATCAGAACATTTGAATGGTTCTAGCATGGGCAAACTACCTCATCTACTACATTTTTCTCTACTGCACTGTTTTATGAAAGGAAATCTGATGACATGATAGTTATTCTTCTTCATGAATTATCTTGTTATTGCAGAAATGGGCAGGGCATGATAGCTAGAAATTAGTTAGAAAACTAAGAGATTTCCTAAAAATTATATGGTAAAGTTAATTGAAATATTCAGACAAGTTATTAATTTCAATAAAACTTGGTCATGGTAAAAGGAGCTACTTCATGAACACTTCATTCTTCTCAAATATTGAATTCTGAAAAATCCTTGATCATGTGTGTAATATAATAGCAGTCCAATAAGAAGCTGTGCAGCTGCTCTCTCACTCATTTTAGCACAGGAATTTGCATTTTCAGCTAGAAAGAAGGCATCATTAATCACTACCTAAACTACACTGTGTAACCACATGAATACCCTCTCAAACAACAGCAAAAACTTAAATAAATAGATAAATTTTAAAAATGTGCAGTATGCCATTTAAAAATGTTTAAAATGTACACTTTCATGTAAATATGAAATGTCCTTACCAAAGTCCCTTTGAAATGCCCTTTTCTCTTATAGCATGCCTTGCCATCTCCATTCTCACAAACACACGTATGATCCATCTGGCCATTGGAGTATACAAAGCATCTTCCTAATAAACAGTGTATAGAAGTATAATTAATGCATTTTGAAATGACTGTTTTTACTCTGCAGCAATTCCAAACTGGATATAGCGGTGAGACAGATTTATCTCTGGTTAGAAAAACAGAGACAAAGTAGCTTTGAAAAGTCACTATCAACAGAGCAGATGGAAGGAAAAAGAAAACAAAGGTGTCCCTCGCAGTGCCAAGGAAAGGAAATTGCCCTCAGGGAGACAAACTGTGTAGCAGTGCCACCTGCTGAAGAATAAGACAACGACACAAGTCCTGAGTCACTTTTGTGCTTTCTGAACATCCTTCTGACTTTCCAATCTTTTACTGAGCTTTCCCTGCATCTGTGCTATGGATGGAGCTACTACATCTTAGGCAAATCTATATTTGCACTTGATCATCCTCTCTAATTTTATTTCTTCTACATCATGTACTTTGAATCTGCTAGATAAAATACTGCTGCCAGTACAAAAACATACTGAGTCCCACATTACATTTTCACACTTTTGAAGAGTTTACAATTTACTAAAGTACCAACCACAAGCATTTTACTTTTTTTAATTTATGGCAACTGTTACTGCAAATACTTATCTCCACATACAAGAAACTTCTACAGCAGCCATCTCTTTTTCTTTTAAATCTCATTTATTAAAGACAACTAAATAGTCAAATCTTTGAGCACAGAATGTATTAATCTATTTAGAGCCCAGATGACAAGACTTAGATAAAACTTTTTCTACTTGTTTTCAAAAGTTTTTGGATTCTGGAGGAGAGGGACTTTGACATAACACAGTGATCACATAAGCCCCTTATCAAAATATTTAGTAATGTATTAATAGCTTTTTTTTTTTTACTCAATTGAGTAATATTTGTACATTCTTCCATACTGAGAAAGAGATCATACAGCCTACTTTACATTAAATTGATTCACAAGATTTTTTTTCCATTGTATCTATTCAGTAGCACATCTTTTCTTTAGCAATTTTAGTATGTGTACATATATATATATATATTTTTTTTTAATTATTATTTTTTTCCCAGCTCACTGACTGAGGAAACAAACTTAGCTACCGAGAAACAAAGAAAGCCATTGTGCTACTCAGCACTGTGACAATTACCGGCTAAGTGCGACAGCAAAGAGCAAAGTGCGCCCTCAACTGCAGAACATTGCTTACCTTTGGGGAACGGATTGCTTTGGGCTTGCAGTCGAGTTTTGACAACATCAAGAGGAGTTACTAAAATGAAGCAAAGTAGTCATTTAGAAATACATCACAACCTGAAAATGTAGAAGTGTGCACATAAATTCATCAGGAACTTTTACAACTTGTTTTTCAGGGATGGGGGATAGGGAAAAAGAATGAGAACTATTTTACAACGTAATCAGCCAGAGGGGGAAAGCAAGCAAACAATGACCACCACCCAAACCAAACCAACCTATACATCCCCTATATGTCACTTCTAACTTAGCAACAGTTGAACAAAGAACTGCTTGGGATAAACAAAGCTCACAAAAAAACACATTGTGCCAACTTGTGTGAAATTGTTAAAAGCTGTGCTACTTCTCTCTGGCTGCTAACTTTTTACAATGGCAAACCAGAGAACTTCAGATTTTGTCCTCAAGCATGTAAAAAACCACAGCATTTTCTATGCATTTATTCTTTTTCATTAAACTCATCTACATAGTGATGTTCAAAAGAAAAGAAACAAACAAACAAACTTTAAATTTGTGATGGACTTTCCTTCTTTCCTCTGTGTAGAGCAGATTTAAAACTTCAGAGTTGTTGAGAAGTAAACGTAGGCTTAGGGAACATTTTTTTGCTTCCATCCAGCACTTGAGCACAACAGTCCTAGACATGCTGAACACTGCAGTTGTTTGTCAGCTGGACCACTCTCCAACCTCTGCTGATTGCACTGACTCAGGGCTTCAATCACTTACCTACACACAGCAGCTAGTGCCATGCGAGACTCCAAGGTATCCAAAATATCTGCACAGTGGACAGATATGACACAGAACCTACAATTTCATTAAGCAGCAGCTGGTGACTAGGTCAAATCACCCAGAATGTGCACATGACATGCTTGTGCCCAGGCATATATTTACTCCTTAGCTCTCTGCTGATGTCCGTCTGCTGACCAGTACACTCTGCTCACATTTCTGTACCTAAATGCAGGGATCTCGATGTGACTGCAGCTCATTTCAGTTATATGAAATTTGGCTTTTATTATCATTAAGCCAACTGCACATAACTCTTCCTAGTCTCCCAGGTACCACTTCAGAAAGGAAAAGTCTCCTTATACTTGCTAAGACCTTGAATACCAATACCTTAAACTAGAACCTTATGCACAAAATTCGAAATACATCTTGGGAATTCTAGAGGTCTGATCTAGCTTTGCCTACTACTTTATCTAATATCACAGGACACATTGTGTAATGACAGAATGAATAGACTGAATTTGGTAAGAACCTAATTCATGAAAGTCTGGAAGGTTTTGGGGGGAGGAGCCATGCTTAGAAAATTGTACGTTTCTCTACAGCTTAGTCAGTGTTAAAAGTCAGAACCAAAGGCTAGCTTAAGGCAAAAAGTAACAGAAATACGAATAAGCTTGATGAGCTCCAAAAGATACGAAGCACTGAATCCAACCAACCAGTGCCTCCTTAGGTGTACATGGGAAAGGAGTTCACGAGCTAGAGTACTGAATAAAAGTAAAAGCTCAATTTCACAGATTATCTGCAAGTTTGAAAGACCTTACAAAAAAACCTATCCTTAAAATTGCTTAAGGAAATGATAAAATGCTCTGACAGAATACAACAGCATAACAAGTAAAACGATGTTACTACTGCAGTGGTAACATGAAGAGGACATCTCACAGTGTACAGCCTTGCAGGGTTTGTATCTTGAACTGTAGACTTTTATTTAAAATTTATTTTTAAGTGGCAGAAAGGATGGAAAGTCTTTTTTTTTTTTTTTTTTTTTTTAGTTAGTTTGTTTGTTTTTCCAGAAAGCAAGCAGTGAAAAAAGACAAAGGAAAAAAAAATTAAAATTACTCTTATTTTCAGAAATAGTTAAAGGTTATAAGGTAGGGTAAAGATTTCAATTAACCACCATATTTGATATAATTAAAAAAGAAACAAAACACATACTTAATGAACATATTAGCAGAAGTTTACAAACCACATATATGCAGTTAGCATGCTCCATTAAACCAAAGAGCAATCACTTTGCAAAGATTTTCTCTGTAGCAAGCTTAATAGCTTGCCTTACCAAACAGTGATGTAATTATAGCTCCGCAGCAAGAGGACACTGCCTGCTGAATAGTGGTTGTTTTGCTGAAGTTACTATTACTCATCTCAGCCATCGCTTTATCCTCGGAGAAGAAAAATCTATTGAGGAACAGAAGAAGTATATTGCAAGACTGTGCTTACAACTTGCAGAAAAATCAAGTAAAAAATATTTTTAATTTTTACTAATGCATTACATATAAGCAGCAGTAATGTAAGAAAATGTAATAAAGGGAACACAGGTTTTTGGTTTTCTGGGGTTTTGTTTGAAATTAAGTTTTCTAAATAACAGGAAAACTTTCTAAACTTTTTAACATAAGGTACCTGATACCTTACAAACCACATTAAATATGTAACATACCTTACATTTTTGCAGCAACAAAGGCCTTAGGAGCATGTCAATGGTCTGTACAAAGGTAAATGCCCTGCCTGCAGCCCATACACTGCAGCAGAGCAGAGCACTTCGTCCAGACCCCCCTCTTGCTTCTGTTGTTCCTATGAGAAAATCCAGAGAGGTCTCCTGGTGAATCCAAATCACAGCCTGTTGGTAATGGCTTCCTGAGCAATCTCCTTAAACAACAAGCAGTGACTGACTGGCATTAATGCTGCCAGTAAATATTAATTCCTTTAACAAATCCTGCAGTGCAGTTTCACAGGCAAGGACTCAATACCTTAGAAATGTAAGCACAGACTCTAGAAATAAGGAGCTAATATAAATCTCGGCAGAAAAAGAAAACAAAAGGAAAACCAAACAAAAAGCCAAACGAGCCCATTTTCAGGACACAAAATCCCCAAATGACATCCTGCGTTGAAGAGGATTCACAAGGATCACTGAGCCCAGCTTCTGGCTCCACACAGGACCACCTGAAAAACAAATCCGATGGCTTGAGGGCCATACCTTTGAAAATGCACACAGATTTAGTAAGTGCAGTTGTGACTTTATTAGTTTGTATTGATCTAAGCTTTGTATTTGATCCATAGGACAGGCTGGAAAGTTGGATGAAGAGGAACCCAATGAGGTTCAATGATGGTATGTGCAGAGTCCTACAGCTGGGAGGAATAACCTTATCCTTCTGTACAAGTTAGGGGCTGACCTCCTGGAGAGGAGCTCTGCAGAGAAAGACCTGGGTGTCCTGGTGGACAACAGGTTGGCCATGAGCCAGCAGTGTGCCTTTGTGGCCAAGGCCAACAGTATGCTAGGATGCATTAAAAAGAGTGCAGCCAACAGGGTGATCCTCCCCTTCCTCTGTGCTCTGGTGAGGCCACACCTGGACTACTGTGTCCCATTCTGAGCTGCTCAGTCCAGGGAACTTCTGGAGCAGTGGGTGGCAAAGATGAGTGGGAGCATCTCCCTGATGAGAAAATGCTGAGAGACATGGGACTGTTCAGCACGGAGATGAGAAGGCTGAGGGGGATCTTATCACTGTTTATAAATACCTAAAGTGGAGGGAGTCGAATGGATGGGGCCGGGCTCTTTCTAGTGGTGCCCAGCGTCAGGACAATGGCAGTGGGCCAGATGATCTACAGAATTCCCTTCCAACCCTTACGACTCCGTGATTCTGTGAATGTTTTGCTACGTTCCCCGAGTTTAAAACGAAAGACGAGGCAATTGAGCAACGCGCACCAGGACTCACCCCCCAGAACCCGCCATACCGACGTCTCCCTCCACACATTTAGGACCCTGCGGGGCTGAGGCGCTCCCCCTGCCGCCGCCACGCCCTCAGCACGGCGCGGAGAGCCGCAGCGCGTCTTCCCGTGTGAGGACGGCACTAAGGTGAGGCGGTACCCCTACGCAAGCTTCCCGCCCTCGCGCGGCCTCTTTTCCCCTCCCGCCACGCCGCGTTCCCCTCACCCCGCCTGGCGGCGTCTTCCCGCCCTCCCTCCCGCTGGGGCGGGGCTCGCGCGCGGCGGACCGTTGGTAGCGCGCGGGCCGGGGCGGGAGTCCGTGGGCCGCGAAGCGCCAAGGCTCTGCCGCGTCCTGCCGGGAGACGAAGGGAGGGGGCGGCGGGGGCCGGCGGCTGAAGGAAGCGTACCGGCGGTGCCGCGCCCGCGTGTCTCCCGGCGGGAGGAGAGGAGGATGTGAGGCCGCGGGAAGATGAAACCCGGCGCCGCGGAGGTCACCGACAAAGGAGCGCGTCCCCGTAAGTGGCGGGGCCGGGTCTGCTGCCGGCGGGTGGGCCTGCGGCCGGCTTCGTTATTACGGCAGGGTAGCGCGCCGGCACTCCCTCCCGGCGATTTTGCCCTTTCGCTTCGCCCGACGTCGGGAATCGATCGTTAAAAGCCGAATTGAAGAGGGACGCGAGCCGGCTGCCGTCAGGCCCTGCCCCGCGCGGCCCCTCCACGGCCAACGCAGTGCCGCCATCCGTGGCTGCGAGGGGCGGGCGGCTGAGCGGGGAGCGCTGCTGGCGCGGTGCTGCTAACGAACTCTTGCTAACTGCGGGCCTTGAGTTACGCCCAGCGAGTTCGGTGCGCGTTTTTCAGTGGTGGCCGCAGTAATTTTTGAGGTGCCCTGTGTGCCGGGTGTAACGCGGTGTTTGATCCCTTCAGAATTTCTCTTGCCCGTCTGCTCATTTGTGGCTCAAGACTTCATCCTTTTCAGCTTCCAAACGAGTTACGTTGTCTAAAGCCTCCACGTTTCCTATTTGTCTGCTTCTCCTGCTTTCTCAGGTTCTACCGAATTAACTGCTCTTTTTGCTTTGCTTTTATGTGTTCATAACCACTACTGGGAGAATATAGCGGCAGTGCTGGCTTTGCTGCCCCCTGTTAAGGCAGTTTCAGCGAAAGAGAGAATGGGTGGCAGAGGGACTGTTTTGACTTTAGAAGATGCCTGCTCAGTTCCTGCGTCAGCCCTCTGTCCTTTCTGAACTTCTCCAAAGGAAAATAACCAGGAGCTGACCCGCAGTCACTGAGGAGACGAGCGGTTTAAAATCACCAATATGCCAGGCTTGGATGATTGAGCCTCCATCATAGGTTGTAAAAGGACTCCTGGAATGGATGCAAGCAGGAATGGTTGCTCACACTTGAGTGCGCTTAGGATTCCACGAAGTGTTCCTCCTCTTCAGTATTCCATGCCTCTATTGATTGTGTCCTCTGGTACATACAGTATCACTTTCTTTTTATTTTCTACCTAACTGCTGGTTTGGGATTTATGCTCCATAGTTCTTGTACTGGAATAAACTATTCAGCCATTATCTCGGCTCTTTTTGATTTTATTTATCGTATTTCCCCTAAATCACTTATTTTGCCCACTGACCACCTATCTGTGAGATAATTCCACATGGTTTTGATCATCTTTTTATGCTTTTTTCTCTTTCTTGGTTGTAGAGTACACACTCTACTCCTCATGCACATTTTTTCCTCTTAAAGCTGCACATGTTATTTAAGTGTGGGGATTCATGAATTTATATAGTGGTATAATAAAATTGCCCAATTAATTTTCTGGTTTTTTTTTAGCAATTTCTGGTAGATTTTTTTGTTTTTACTTTTTTTTTTTTTTCGTTGATACTCAGTGTACATACAGTGTTTCTCTTATGAAATGAGATTTAACTCCACCCAGACTGATCTATTTTAATTCTTTAAATTTCCTTATTTAAATGTCTATTCTGACAGAGTTGAGTGGATGGTACTGAGTTGATCATCAGGTTTTTAATTCCAGTACCTGAAGGGGGCCTACCGGAAAGCTGCAGAGTGATTCTTTGTAAGGGCAGGTAGCGACAGGACAAGGGAAAATGGCTTTAAACATGACGAGGGTAGATTTAGACTAGATATCAAGAAGAAATTCTTTACTGTGAGGGTGGTGAGACACTGGCACGGATTGCTCAGCAAGGCTGTGGATGCCACTTCCCCGGAGGCATTCAAGGCCAGGCTGGATGGGGCTGTGAGCAACCTGGTGTAGAGGGAGGTGTTCCTGCCTGTAGCAGGGGGTTGGAACTGGATGATCTTAAAGGTCCCTTCCAACTCAAGCCATTCGGTGATTCATTCTATGATTCAATTGCTGTATCTTGTCTCTTAGTTTAAGAGAAAAATTCACTAGGACAGAAAGAGTGGTTGTAACTACAGTGATTCTGGAACTTTAAGCAAACTTCCTGAGTCTCAGGTGGGTGCTGAAAAATGAGATGAGTAGTACGATCTTCCTCTCCTATTTTTTTCTGTTTCATGGGCTTTTGCCTTGTTTTTGTTCTGTTGCTTCTATATGAATCCCCTTTTTTCTTAGATGAAAAAGTGAGAGGCCAGTCTTTTTCCTTTAAAAATAGTGCTTTTGTGATAATTGGGGACTGTACCAGAAGTGCATGTACTGTGCTGTGGAGATGGAAAATGGTTAACAAAGTGGAGGAGAAAACTGATGGTGTTGTATGGCAACTGAAATAAAAAAATCCATCTCAGGACATGATTTAAAAAAACAAAAACAAACAAACAAAAAAAAAACAACAAAAAAACAAAAAAAAACCAAAAAACAAACTTTTAAGGGCTCTTTGATATTTATGTCTAGTTTTTGACTTGTTTAACATATAGGTCTTTATTAAGTGTCTTATATTACATGGAAGTTTGCCTTCTTTCATTTTAAAAAGAGAACCCACATTTCATACAGTCTAATTCTTTTTTGGCAGCAGATGAAATGCAAGCAAAAACAGAAAAGATAAAATCTTCTCTGAAGAGCGTGAAAAAAGAAGTAGGAAAACCAGAGAAACTGAAATATAAACCACTCACTGGAAAAGTGTTTTACCTCGATATTCCATCAAATGTGATCTCTGAAAAAATAGGGAAGGATCTTAAAGAACTGGGAGGGGTAAGTTAACGTTCAAATGAAACTGAAAGAAAATCTGCATCTGGAATGGCTGTTCTGTGTACTGTGCTACTGTGTTTTAATGTTACATTTATTTTAGATGTGAAGGAGTTTTATTTTTTAATGTTACTTTAATGTTTAGTATAGATAATCAGCTTATCAAGAAGTTTTTGTGGGGTTTTTGTTTGTTTTTAGTGGAAGTTGTTTTGCTATCTGTAGCAGAAGTTTTTATCATAGAGGTTTGTTTTCAGCTGATGTTTCATTTACTTGGACTTTTATCCGAGTGCCATAAGAATGATGAACCCGAAAGAGGTTAGAGGAAGTGTTCTGCATATGTTTATGGAAAGCCGCATATTCTTTTAGCTTGGTGTGGGTTATTTGTTAAGATTGTCTTTTACTTGAATGATTTGATAGTTTGTATGCATTTAATCAAATCATATATATGACAATTTCCCAAATTTTCTAATACATTTTATGTTTGGAGGCTACTTAAAGCTACTTATAAGGCTACTTATGTTTAGAGGCTAGAAGTATAATGGGAGAGTGGTTTGGCTTATTTTTTTTTTTCCCTTCAAGTACAGGCTGAGGCTTATAAAGGCTGAGCTGGAATATTATCACCTAGCAGAGGGAGGAGATATGCATCCCTCTTGGCATTCAGGGCAGGTTGTGGACAAAGAACTGAAGAAAGAGCTTTTGTGTGGTTGGTGGGCTCGAGAGGATGTAGAGAGAAACAAAAAGTTTTGAGAGATTGCAGCGGAACATCAACTCCTCAAAATCGTGGTTGAAATGTGAGCTAAATAGAGGAGCAGGGTTAGGATACAGGACCTGTATGGTGGCATGAGATGAGGTGTCAAAAACAAACAAACAAAACCCAACAACCCCGCATTGACTTCTTGATGGTTTTCTTTTTCTTTTTTATCTTTAAAGGCATTTCTTCTTTAAAAGGTACCCTGGAGCTCTTTAAACAAAAAGCTTTGCGTAGCTAATTCCACTTACATTCTGGATTTTAAACTTAATGTTTTGAAGTACTCATCCTTCTACAGTGAGCAGACAGCTGTGAAAGCCACGTTTTTAAGAGCAATACCTCAGCCCATTCTGGTGGCATTATCACAAGAATGGCTGATAAGGCTTGGGTGTGGTGAGGAGCAGTAGCAGGAAATTGAAATGCTCTGTAATATCAGCAGTCAGCTGAGAGGATCAGCTCTAGCGCTGGATCAGGCTGCCTGGAGAGGTGCTGGGGTTTCCTCTTGAAGATGCTCAAAGCCAGCAAGAAAATTTTGGTGGTTAAAGTTGTGTAGTACGTTCATAGTCAGGTTTTTACACTTCCAGCCTTATTGTTTGATCTCAGTAAGGCATTTCAGTAAATGCTTTCTGCACAGTATGCTAATGAAGATTGTTTGCATTGAAATCATAAATTCTGATGGGGGAAATACAGCATTTTCGTACTCACTAAAACAAAATGTATTACTCTGTTCAAGCTTCTATGCTTCTGAGAGGCGTTATGAACTCTGTAGGTGTGAAATGAGGTAACCATTGTTTCACAATAGTTCCATTTTTCTGTGGGTTCTGAAATTCATTGTTATATCTCCTTGCAAACTGTAAATTATGTTTGCTTATGCATCTGTGAGCTCAGTTTAGCTGAATACTTCATAACTTCTGTTAAATTACATAAAATGTGGTTTCCTTTGAATTATTCTGTAATTTCTCAGTGCACTGAGTTCTGTTTGGAAAGTATTACAGCTCAATACATCAAGAAATGGTAATAATCAAAACCAATCAAAAAAAAAAAAACAAGCTTCATTTTAGGTTAGAAAATCAGAAGTGAAACTGTAAAGCTTTTGACTGGTAAGATCTTACTGCAGTTCAGTTGTCATTGTTTTTTTTTTTATATATATATATATATATATATATTTTTTTTTTAATATCTTCCTGATGATTCTGTTTTCTGAGTGTAAAAGTAGATTTGTTTAGAAGTTTTGTCTCTTCAGTGCACACAAAGCAAGAAGGGAATTACTAATCTATTGTCCTGAAGTAACAGTTTGCTTTATTTCTTTTTATTTAGCGAGTGGAGAGTTTTCTTAGCAAAGATATCAGCTATCTGGTGTCCAGTAAAAAGGAGGCAAAATTTGCACCAACTCTCAGTCAGATTTCTCCAGTTCCTAGCCCAGAATCTGTATGTAATGGAGGGAATGGTACATCTCATCCCAGCAACCGAAAAGATCGACAGGATGGAAGTTCATTTAAGGCAGCAGATGCAGTAAGTTTCTCTAATAATAATGCTGCAAAACAACTACAACCTGGAAGATGCACTATCAGAATTTTTCTCCTGTCTTGTTTCCTCATGTTGTTAATGCAAATACCTCCAGAAGTAGTCTTTGGTAGTTCAATGAAATAATTACAGTTGAACATTGCGTATCAGGTTTTTGGTTTTTTTTTTTTTTTTAGTTCTTAGGTGATTGTATTAATTTCAGCAGTTTGTTTCTGAGTTTCTGCAGATTTACCTGAAGTCTGTTCCATTGGCAAGTTTAGTACCCTCACTATCCTGACTTGATACTTTAGGAACTTAGGTGTGGGGCAGTTCATGTGTTGGTCTTCGTTGCGCTGGGTGGCTGAGGTCACCTCTTCTTGACAATAACCTGGATAGGTGAAGGTGTGTTCATTACAAATGTACAGAATATAGTACAAAAGGAGCTCCTGATGGTAGAAAAGGCAGAGATAATTATGGCTGAGGCTGTAGTTACATTCATGGCTGGTAGCTAAATTTAGCACATGTTCAATGGATGAAACCTCATCTTTTGGTGTATCCCACAGGCTGCTCATTCACACCATCTTTCTTGATCCAGCACTTGGCATTGCTTCAGCCATTCAATGAACCTGCTTTGGTTGAAAACTAATTTTCTTTTTTCCCCTCAGAATGCATGAACCCCAAAACCACCTTGTGTGAAAAATGCAAATTCATGAAAAATAACTATAAAATAAACAAAAGGAGACTATTGAAGACTTTTGATAGTAACAATTGTTTAATTTGCCTTACCTTGTACTTTCTGAAACGAAATCTAACTTGCTATGAATGTATTTCTGTTCTAATATAGGTACGTTTGAGCAGAGGAAAATCCTTAGCTGAAAAAGCAATCAGAGAGCAGGTAAGCTGGGTAATCCATACATTTGTACTTTTGAGGAATTTTGATCCTGAAGTTCTGGAAAACAAGCACTAGTGAGAATGATGGTGGTCTGAGACAGAGGTGTCTCATGGGGCATTCAGGCAGAAACTGAGGATTGTTCTAAGCAAAGCATGTGTCAGATTGTGTTTTCTGGATACTTCCTGAAGAACTGAAAGTCTTATGGTCTTATAATCAGTATTATATTTTATCAAGATTGTAATTGTAGCTGGCATTTGAAAAGTGCTTGTGAAGTTGAAGTGAATGTACAAATTCATTGTCTTCAAGTAGTAGATACTATAACATATGACAGTAGAGAATTGCTTTTGGCTTTGTGAGACGCTAACTGCAATCCTTTGATAGCCAAGTGTTGTGATGTGGAGATGGAGAAGTCAATTGAGGATAGCTGTAATATTTTGGCAGGAAGTACATAAACAGTCTACAGTTGGATCTCAGCTTTTGTAAGATAGTTCTTATTATAAGGTGTAGTATATTTATTACATTTTATTTGATCTGCAGGTCAAAATGATAATTTCTTTTTCTTTCTTTTTTTTTTTTTTTTAACAGGAATTAATCCCCTCTGGTAGCATGCTGTCCAATGCTTTGAGCTGGGGAGTGAAAGTACTTCATATTGATGGTAAATATCTTTGTTTGGTGAAGCATAACTTGAACTAATAACACTGATTTCTTTAAACTTTTTGGAGTTCAAAATATTAAAAATGTTAACTTAAAACAAGCAAAGATAAATTCAGCTGAAATATAAATATAACTTTCTCTTTGCCAGATGTTAAGCATTATATTGAACAAAAGAAGAAAGATCTCTACCTAATCAAAAGCACAGGCAGTTCTTTTAAAGATGTGGTAAGTGGGTTTTTGCCATTTGTGAAAGTTAATTTGATTAAATGAAAAAAGGTAGGCATATTAAATATGGCCTACTGTGGTGCATACAGATTTTATTTTAATCAAATCTTACTTCTGTTCTGTTTTTCACTGACTAGTATGTTTTATGAATTAATTTTAAGACCGTAACCTCAGTGACATCATTCGTTTTTGCAGTCTATACATAAAAGCTGCTTTAGGAAACAGGACTGTATTTATTTCCTGGTGAGCTTGATTTCTACATAATTTATCACAACTGTGTATCACAAGTTATGATTGTCATAGGGAGACTCTCATGACTTAAAATCTTTAAGTCTTAAGATAAAATGTGAAATAAAATTCCTGTGAATATTATACTTTCCCTCCTTTATTTTCCAACAGGGAAAACAAGTTACCACTCAAAAGTCAAAAAGTAAGTATTTCAATATGTGTAGAGGTTTTGCTGAACTTTCTGAGTGCTTATAAATAGATAAGTATAAAACTGTCTTCTAACTTGTAAGCCTAAGAAAGTTTCCTGAAACTCAGGAGTTTATAAAGCATGTACATAATGAGTTGTAAAATAATGCCTGTCTGTCCAAGAACTTGAAAACTTGCTAAATGAAGCAGAGTATTTCTCTTTTAATTTCCTTTTTTTCCTCCTGTGAGCAGGTAGGCTGAAAAACCCATTTGTGAAGGTGGAAGATAGAAGTCGGTGAGTGTTCTGTGTGCTTTCAATGTAGTTCTCAAACTGAGAAATTCAGAAACATGTTGTACGTCCTGATGGGCTTGCTGACTTTAAAGCCAGACGGTTCCATCTCTGTGTGGTCTGCATAGGTATCAGTGTTTAGTCTTCGGATGAAGTGAAAGAGGAATTAGGGTGGTGGGGAGTGTTTGGGATGGGTAGTAGTGATGAAAAGTTAACGTGTAGTAATTTGTAGGTCACGAGAGGGGGATCAGGAGAGATTTGGTTTATTTAGTTCTTAGAGCCGGATGAATTGAAATGAGGAAGCCTTGAAACTTTAAACTTTGACATCTTGCCTGTTTTTTCTTAGATTCAGTTCACGTAGCCCAAAAGGCTAATAAAGCTTTCTATATTAAATATTAGTATTCCTAATTCTTAACGTTCATCTTGGGAGACAGTAAGAAAAGTCATTATATCATAAAACATTCCTTGAAATCAGGCTGAATTTACAGTTCAGTGATTTATTACTTAAAAAACAAACAAAAACAAAAAAGTAACACAACTGTTAATCTAATTTCACTACTGTTGTAGCATAAGATCTGATACTTCCAGACTTGACAATTTTTGTATTTTTCTGAGCTTGTAACTGATAGGATCTGGTTGTGTAACTCCTCAATGAGGAAAGAGGTTGTCAGAAGTTGGGAGAAAAATGAATTAAAACAACATGAGTGGGAATTTTGAATCTAGTCTTACTAGCGAGCTGGTAAGAGTAGGTGTGATAGATATGAGAGTAGTGGGGAGAGTAGGACAAATGCATTTTCAAACACAAAATATATGAACGTGTGAATTTTATATTGGACTCTGAACACTGCAGCTAAATGATTATGTGAATTTTGTCATTACCTTTTTCAAACACTTTTAATACATGCAAGTGCTGGTGTGCTTGCTAGTTCTGTTATCTTTCTATGTATGTTTCTGTGCAGGAAAACTACTTCCATGAAAACTTAATGTTCAGTTTTAACATATTTTCAATGATAAATTGGAAGCCTTTCAAAAAGAGAAAATTGATAAAATGAAAAAAAAAAAATTGAGGTAGGAACTGCTATTTCTCAGGAGCACGGATCTACTTGCATCCAAATTGTTAATTGTATTGGTTGTGCAGATCTGCTCAACCTCCTGCACTACAGGCAACGTCGCTATGGAGTGTGCTTGACAGCTCTGAAAACTCAAGGCAGACTCTTTATTTTGAGGTGGTATTGAGGAAGGAAGGAATTACTTTCCCTAGGTTATTTATCTGCTTAGCATTTTTTCTGTACATTACATGTGGAAGAGAAGCTTGTTTTCAAAGACCTTTTAACCTATTTATAGTTTGTAATGTAAACTGTTTGGTTGTTCTGATGCTTCTAATGCACCTGTTTTATCTTAATGCAGCTCCTACCGACCATTTTATCTGCAGTTACCAAGTTTTCCAGCTCTTAACTACTGTGTTCCAAAACCTTGTAGTCCATTTGAGGTCGATAAGAAGCATCCTTCTGGTCCAAAACAAACTCAGTCTAAGCAAAGGTTTGTTGATTACTCATTGTTGAGGTATATACAGAGGAGAGAGAGATCCTCTAAAATAATTGTAAAGTAATTATTTTCTAAAAAGAATTCTTTTGCTTTTTATTTCTGTGATACTTAATACTAATTTCTGCATCTTGACTGTTGCATTTGCTACGCTGTAACTGCTGCTGTCTGTCTTTCTGTACCCTCTTTATCCTATCTTTAGTCCTTTTTTTGGACACACGGATGCATACATCCAAAAATGCAATGCTCTCCTATCACTGTGGGTCAGCATAAGATATTTTTTTCCTTTCTACCACTGGTTTCTTCTTTGTCCACGTCTTGGATTCCATCCAGTAAGTATTTTATAGGCAGTAAATTTCTTAAGGCTTCCCGTGATGTTTGTCAGTAAAAAGCTGAAAAGAAGGCAGTTAATTGTTATAAGCGATATTCAGTTATAGTTCAAAATCATCATTGCTAAGGAGCATATCTGCCTTATATGCACAATTAAATTTATAGAAATTAGACATTGCAAATGTTGCTTCATTGCTTCAGAGATGAAAAATGGATACTTACTGCAGTTAGTTTATCTTTCAGCAAGTGTTTATGTGATACGGGTTGACACTCGGGCTCTGAGTGCTCCAGTTGATGTTAGAACATTTGATAAATCAACTTTATGATTTGAAACAACTTTCAAATGTTGATTTTTGTTTTACTGGGGGAATTTGGTGTCCTTAGCTTCTTTTATCTAGCATGTGTGGAGACTAAATGTTTGACTTTGAGAACTGATTCATAGCAGAGACTGAAATATTTAGATGAGAGGCAGCTTTGATTTACTTGAAACTTTCTGTGTCTGGTAACTTTTGCTGCTGTTCTGTCCTTTGGATCTAAAACTTATTTAGGTTTGACATTTGTTTTCTCTATGAATAGGTTCTGTGTTGTCTGTATTTTGTCCAGTCTAAGCTATTATTAGACTTCTGGAGCTTTTCAGGTGATGTTACAGTGATAAATGAACATAGCAACATAGTAATGCAGTAACCTTTGCAATAAGGAGGATATTTCTGATGCTGTCTCTTCAAAGGGGCCTTAGGATAGCCTGTTCTCTTTAAACCACTTTCTAAAATGAAGATTACAATAGTCTTTTCATGTGTATAGATTAAGAAATACAAGGCATTAGTTTTAAACTTCAGGAATTGGGCTCAAGGTAATATTTCTCATTAATCTTTCAATCTGGCACATGCCAGAGATGTTTAGGTGGAGTTTTATTTATTTCATAGCCAGCAGGTGAAGGTGGTGACTCATTTTTTTTTTTTTTTTTTTTTTTTAAGAAGGAAAAGGTGAGAATGCCTGCTTGTTTTATCTTTATCTGAAAGAGTAGGATGTTGAAGATGATGTCAATTTTACCTGCTTTACGTGCAGAAGCATTGCAATCATTCACACTTCAGATAATAAATTCTGTCTCTTTTATCTTGTGGCTTGCAAGCCTTAGTGGCTCTTAGTGATTTTACATTTCTAAGGGAAGAGGTGAAAAGGCTACTGCAGTATTAAAAGTGGACTCTGGAATCTGAACAAATGCTTGATTGGTCTTTATATAAAACATCTATGCAGATTCTTGGTGGAGTCTGACCGTATGACTCTTTGTCTAGGCGGGGAGGTGGCACTATTCTCTTGAAGTAAAATGAAAGTAGGAACTGATGATTTTGCTTTACTGTAGGGTAGCGTAGTAGTGAATGGCAACAAGCAGTAGCTCTGTCCAGATGAGGACTCTGAAGGTCATGGAACAGATATTGAAAACCTCCTTGTGGTTTAATCTTCTGGAAGAACTTATGGTTCATTTCCTCGTATTTCAAGGTACATTTCTTGTACCTTGAAAAAGAAGAGGAATCGTACTTGATCAACATGTTCAAAAGCTGCATGTAACCAATAAACAGGACAATTCTTTACCTTTTATCAAAGAACGAAAGATCATTTATTATACCATATTTTTTCTGCATCAAAAATATTGACAGAAGATGAAATGCTAGAAGACTTTTTTTCCCCTAGTTTTGATTTTATCAGCTATGCAAAGAAATTTCAACAAATCCTTTGATTTGACAAATGAGATTTGTTTTATAAGTTCAGCATTGCTTAATCTGAGTCAATGATAGTAGGAAATCTTACGAATCTGAATGTTTTGTTATTGCTTTTTGAGTGCATTAATTTCTATTCTATTTTTCCTAAGCATTTACTAGGGTGGTTTAAGTAGTCTGAGAAGAAATGAAGATGTTCTCTTAAATGATGTGAATGAAAATGAACATTTTGTAGGAGGCATGTATAGAACTCACCTCGTATGTAACAGTCATTAATTTTATTTTGTTTCTGCTAACAGAAAAGATATAAACAGTGACAAGGACTGCAGAACTCCTGTTCAGCTTCATCAGAAGGACAAAAAAAGGAGAGGATATTGTGAATGCTGTGGGAAGAAATATGAAGATCTACAAACTGTATGTGTGAAACATGAAATATATTGTTTTCAAGCAGTCTTAAAACAGAATTGGCAATGATTTCCATTTGCTGTTTTAATTTTTTTTTTTTTTTTTTAATTTAAAATGTCTGAGTGTATTTTCTAAATAGCAGCAATTTTTTTTCTTTGTTTCAATTCTTTGCTTCTGGGTATGGTGGCTGAAAGCATTAATGGCTCTTGTCTCAGAGACACTGAGTGTAAGATCACCTATTTAGTGGACAAAGGGAATATGTTTAATGTAGTTTTTCTGGATATTAGCAAGGCTGCTTATGCTATTCTTCATTATACTTTTGAATGTTTTATCCAATTATGAGACAAACAAGTATGCATTACACTGGGTGAAGAGCAGGCTCAAAGAATTGTAGTGAATGGGACTGCAGCTGGTGGCAGGTGAGGTGCTGGTTGGCAGTTGGCTCTGTGCACCAGCTGTGTGCCCCAGCAGCAGGGAGAGTAAACTGCACTTTGGGATGTGTTAAACACAGCATAGCCAGATGGCAAAAGAAGTGATTATTCTCATATATCTAATACTAATGCAGCTTCACCTGGAAAACTTTGTGCAGTTCCCCACAGTTTAAAAAGGCTATTAAGACCCAAAGAGGGGCAACAAAGCTGGTTAAAAGAGCTAGATGCAATGAGGAGGATGCTAAGTTTGTGAAGCTTGGAGAAAAGGAGGTTGAGGAATGACCTTATTACTGCCTACAGCTTCCTGGAGATGAGAGGTAGAGAAAAGGCAAGCACCTCTCTCCCTGGTATCTAGTGATAGAATGCGTAGCAGTGGCTCAAAGGTGTCACGGGGAGTGTTCAGAGTTGACATTAGGGGGAAAAAAAAAACATTTATTTTTTTAACCAAAAGTGCAATTGGGCACTTGAACAGGCTTCTCAGGGAGGTAGTTGATGCCTTGTGTCTGTCTGGGATTAAGTGGCGTTCGGATAATGCTCTTAATGATATTCTTTAACTTTGGGTTAGCCTTGGTGTAGTCTGACAGTTGGACTCAATGATCTTTGCAAGTCCCTTCAAAATGGAACTATCCTATTCTAGCAACAATAAACTATCAATATGTACTTACTGCTCCATATTGGTTTGTATATTCATATTTGTAGCATTACTTTTATTTCATGATTACCTTTTTAATTCCAGCATCTTGAAAGTGAACAGCACCAGAAATTTGCACAAAGCACACAGTATCAAGTTGTTGATGATATAATCTCCAAGTTTGTTTATGAGTTTGTTGAATACAGGGATGATGAAAAAAACATGAAAAGGTAAGTTGCATGTCCTGAATTTTCAAACATCTGTGAGTTAAGGCATTAAATATGAAGATGCTTCAGTTATGAAATTCTGAACCTAATATGGAACAAGTTCATGTTTTTGAGTCTGATAATCATCACTGGAACTTGAAGTAGTTCCAGAAATAAAAAGGAAGAAATGGTACATATGGTATCGCAGGAATATGAGGCTAAAGAGACTTTCCAGGAGTTGTTCCATCTATCTGCAACCTTCAGAAATGCAAGTTGTCAACTATTCTAAAATATAGCTGATGGAAGGACAGCAGTGTCTGGATGTCTTGCTCTAAAAGCTTTTTGATGTTCTTAGTAGCCTAAGATAAACAAGTAATAACCTCCTCGGTCAATCTTTAACAAGGAGATCCGGATTTGTCTACAATCTATAATATCTTGAGGGGGAAAAAAAACATAATTGTGCTAAGCTTGTGTCTATATGCAGTAGAATATTCACAGGTATTTGTCATTGCATCATATTCATTAACTTTTGTTCTCAGTAGCGTTGTGATTGAGACTTACTGAAATGCTGGACTGCTTACCTATATTCATGAGCTGTAGAAATCAATAGTAAAAGATTGAACTCAAATACAAAGTACTACGTTCCAGCAGAAATAATGTTTCTACCCTTTCTTTCCTTTGAAAAAATTGCTTTGTCAGTTTAGTTGCTTTTATAGATGTTTACATAATGAATTATGTTACTTTCTTTCAACGGTTTGATTGTTAATCATCCTGAACAATTTAATTGTAGGATAAAATGTAGTACAGGATATTTTTCTCCTATTATTGGAACGATAACACGACCAGATGAGCTGAAAGAACGGCTGAAAAAGCAACGCGTTTCATTGAGAACTTACTCGTGGAAAGATACTACAATGCAGGCACTCAAACTGGATCGTCAGCCTGCAGAAATACAACCAAATTCCATGTTGGTGCCTACCCCTATTTCTGCATCTCTGTGTTCAATTCTGTACTGTCATCTGTCTCAACCTCCAGAAGTAAAAAGTAAATTCAGAAATAATGGTGGAAACACAAGAACTAATTGCTTCTGTGCCACAAAGCTAGGACAGTCTGTGATGGCGCCAAATTTCATACAACCACTTCCTCAGAAAGATGGTAAATCATACATGGAAAACTTGTGTCAAGATTATGAGCCATTCAGTAAAGAAGTACTTGAACCAGAAGTAAATAAAAAGAATTTACAGCGTTTTCAGGAAGGTGTGTGTACTTTATGTTCTCATGCTCAAGTTACAGATCTTAGTGAAAAAGACAAAAACTTAGCACAGCCTAAACGAAAATTGAATCCTGCAGTAGTTCTACCCGCAAAATGTTTGAAAAAAATGGATGCCAGTCCTACGTTTGTCGAGAAACATCGTGATTTATGTGATAATCATCAACAGATGCAGCACAATGTAGTTCTGGAGGCTGAGGTATCCGAGTCTGCTATAAACAAAGAACTTAATGAATTGGCTGCCAACGCTGCACACTGCTCACCATCTGGAAAGCTGCACAGGAAAGTAAAACTTTGCTTAGGAAGAAATAGAAGAGAAAACCGGAAGCAGAATATAGAGTTATGTGTGAAGTATGCAGATGGACTGTCTGTCCCCAGAGAGCAAAGGGATTGCAGCTCACCTGTGCAGGCCCTACTGGAATTGTTTCAGACAAGTGAAATAAAGTCTGAATTTAGAGGTTTTTCAGTTTACACTGATCATGAAGATTCGACTGGCACAGAAGATGTATGGGAAGGGCAGAACACAAATGCTGTTAGTTTGTTATTTTCCTCTTCATCCTCTTCCCCGTTTATTGGATTTTAATGCTGCTTTATTTAATACAGTGTTTTTCAAATAAATTTGCAGATTTAAGATTTTATTCATGGAAATATTCTTTTGTTATGTACAGATGAATTAATTTTCAAGGTTTTTTTAATGCAAAAACTTCTATATGCGTATATGTGAATAAAACTTGCTAAGAGTTTTCTTTTTCTTAAAGCTGCTGCTTTATTACAGCTAGTAAAGGTGACCACAGGATTTTGGGTGACCACAGGTTTTTTGCTAGCCAAAATCAGTGAGCATTATGTAGCTGCTTTTGGATGGTGTATTTTCTAAAATCATTGACTGGGCACACTGAACACAGTACATTCTAAATAACCACATTATAAATTATCGGATGGTTCACTGTAAATAAGACAGTCCGTTACTTGTGGGCCTCTCATGTGGGTTTCTCATATTCCTTCTGTTACTACTTTACAAGGGAATGCAAAAAAAAAAAAAAAAAAAAAAAGTGAGGGGGGGAAGTCACTTGCTTTACAAAAATCTCTCCTGCTGTTTTAGGTAGGGAGTTTATGCAGTCACAAAGAAATAACATCAGGAAAGCATGCACTGAGTTCTTCAGCTGCTCTGCCATAATTTATTTTTAGATTAAAAGTAGATGTAGTGTGTATTTCAGCCAATGAGAAGCAGTAGATGTATGACTTTAAAAAAAAAAAAAAAAGAAAAAAAAAAGAAAAAAAAAAAAGCAATAACAACCTCAAAACAAGCCAATAGGTTGCTGAACAGCTTGGGCCCTTGGTTTGATTTTGCTTTCTGAGTAGGCAGCCTATCTGACTAGCCTGGTTGGAGGCAGAATGAAGGACATGAGCGGGAGCTGGAAGGGCTTTTTTAATACTCTGAATCTTTACCAAACCTGATCTCTTTCAGCAGTTCCATGTTTGTAAATCAGTGCAAGGCATGAGTATTGAATTCAAGTAGGGGTAATTGTGAAACTTCATTAATAAATGTAGGTACCTCAAGGTGTTACAAGCTAAGAGCTAAACTAGCAGAAATTACTCATTGTTTTTTGCATGTAAGTGTAAACAAATAGTTCATCTCCTACCCATTTAACACTGTCACTCTGTTAGTGTTCTTATGATTAAACTGTGTTCTATGGTTGTTTACAGTAGTTTGCCCTTTGGTATGTGATGTTTGCAATGAGGGGTAGATAAAGATTCTTGGTGTATAGGGAGGAGTGCAATTGCGTGTAATTTCCCATGTGTTTGTCTTTCCAAGTATTCTCCCAAATTTAAAAAGTATTAATACCATTTGAAAGAACTGAAAAGGGGCAGCTAGGTATTAGAATGTTTATTTGTCTCTGACTTCCGAGTCTGTAGAAAAACACGTATTTACAGGATGTGTGGCAGGGATTCTGAGAAGTGTCAAACTGCTACAAGTACAATTAAGTTGCTAGAATATAGGTATAGCATTAGAAATGCACTTTATCTGGAAGTAAATATTTGTAGTAATTGCACATATAACAATGGTTTGAATTCCTTCTTAATAGCTGAACAAATTTCTAATGATTTCATTTTTGGATTATCTGTTGTGCTTGTCAGTGAATCTGATAGGCTGCTATTGTAGCTTTTATATTCCATGTGAAAACAACTGTCAGTATTCTAATTGCTTCTCTTTTCTTTGCGATGATTACAGAAGCTCAATGCAGTATTCCCATGCTGTCTGCAGTGTACACCTACGTACAGAGTACAGGAATAAAAAATTCTTGCGAAGTACACATCCTTACTGTTACGAAGAAGTGAAAGCTTTATCATTCAGGTGGAATAGTTGCTGCTTCATTTTAAAGTCTGACTGATGTAAACCCCCTGAATTTTTACATTAGAAAAGTGCTCTTGCTTAAGTGGTGGCCTTGTGGCCCAGTGACCTTCACTGTTTTGTCTTCATTGCACTATTTTGGTAGAGGTTGTTAGGGTAATCTTTGATGTGCTAAAATAGAAGGTGTGTACACTTGCAGAGTTACTAAAAGCCATGCATACAATGTACTGGTTTCAGCATAAGGGCGCGTTGTAACTGATCTGTTCATATCTACTTTTTCACTTCATTACTGTAGGAGAGAGAAAGATCTTTAATTGAAGACTTAAAATAGAAACAGTAGCTGCAGATGGCAAACTTAGCTAAAAATTAACATGAAAAAAAATACAAGTGATGACACTTCTAGAAATAAGGCACTGCGAGAGGTACGTTGCTTTACTTTGGTTATGTGTACACTAGGTCTGGTTTGGTGTCTCTGCAGTGGATGCCCACTGCCTATGACTTTTCTCCCTGCTATGCATTTATTTGGAACAGAAATGTTTCTCTTCTGGTAAATTGTGTGGCTGAGAGGCCCTGGATTGCATCTGTGTGTGCTTGTATATGCATGTGCATATAGTTAATGATGTAGGGATTAACAACTAAAAGCATACACCTATGTAGCATTCTGCAGTAATTTTTTGAGTTTCATACTCCCAGGCAAGCCCTTAGAAGGCCATGTCCTTGAAAGATGCTCAGAAACATGCTGTAATGATTCTGTTTCTTCCTCATTTTCTTGGTATTAAATTTGTTGTTCTTTCTGTTCAAAATGACCACACATTTTTCTTCAGTACTATTTTAACATCTTAAACCAGGTGTGGGGCTTTCTGCCTGGCCTAACAGTTGATGAAGCATCTTGCTGCTCTTGACCATGCATGACAAAGTCATCTCCCCCACATTCTTGCTGTTCTTTGGCTGTGCTGATGAAACTTGTGGCTACAGTGCAGCAGAATTTGCAGAAGAAGGCCCTACCTGAAGGCCATTCTTTTGCAGGTCCGCATTCCATCTTGTTACTCCTTGAAGATCCTGCTGCTACCTGTAGAAGAACAGCAACATCTCTTGCTCGACAGAACTGCAGAGTGCTTGGAACAAAGTGACAGCCAAGTAACTGGTAAACTGGTCTTCATTTTCTAGACTTTAAGTTGCAAACCATGCTGCTGGGAAAATGGAAAGCACCAGCTTACTTTCCTTACATCACCTGAGTGTCACTTCGTTGTGCTCCTGTCTGCTCACCATTCTGAGCAATCCTGACTGTCACATCTGCCACTGTCTTTGGACCTCCTAGTGTCCTCACTGGGAGTGGCTGGTTAAAGCATGCGCTAGATTTCAGTTGCAGTCTCTTAATTTCAGAAGACAAAAGTTGTCTGTGGGAGGAGGAATGTTAAACTTTTCATAGCATTATGCAGCTGTAATGTTCTCTAGTTGGAGTCCATGTTGTTTTTCCATCATGTCTACTTGTGTGCTGTTGGATAATGCTCCATTGTGTATTCCTCAAAGCCAGAAATTTAGATTTTATCAGAATTCTAAAAATACAAAGCAATTTCTGTAGGGTTTTTTGTATCTTAAATTGCTGATAGAGTACTTTGGAAGTTACTGTAGTTTCCTCAAAACTTTAGGCAGTTTAAGTCATGATTGCAAAGTCATTAATTCTTACTGCAGTCATTTACAGCAAAGCTTAAGCATTACTACTGGGAGGTAATTTTCAAAAACAGACCAAATAAATCACAAACTTGGTGTCAGCAGGGCTGTTTAGTCATGTATCATTCTTATTTGCTGCGGTAATAACACTTAGATGTTTAATTATTCTATGGCATAGAATTAATTATGGCTCACAGACAGTCTTTGGATTATCTATGGCAAACCAGAAGCTGAATTTCTACTCATAAATCACTTTCTTGGTTTTTTTTCCCCCGTGATCCTTTGAAATATTGGTGCACATTTTTCAAGCCTCATTCTTCTTCAGCTGTGGTTTAAAGTCTCATTGAACGTGCTCCTTATGTTTGGCAAGTGGGGAAGACATTGCAACATAGGGTAGAGCTATTACTGCTCGTTTTAAAACGTTGACCTGAGTTTTCACTGTAATAGAATGTAATGCTAATAGGAATGTTAACTGACAAGGCAGTGACAGCTGGAAAGTTGGCTTCCATTTGCAGACGGCCGCTTCTGTGCTGAGAGGACAAGTGTAGGCAATCCAGCATGAGCTTGCAGTGTGAAGGTGGACGTGCAAGCTGTGCAAGCCCAGGGAGATCCCAGTGTGAAAAGAAGAGGTATTCAGCAGTGTTCTCTACCTGATTTCCCAATTCCCAGGGAGTTACTGTAAAAAGATCAATAAACAATGGTTTTTACCCAGAGAAGCTGTGGGTGCCCCGTCCCTGGGAGGTGTTCAAGGCTGCATTGGATGGGGCCCTGGCAGCCTCATCTGATGGGTGGCACCAGCCCCGGGCAGGGGGTTGGGACTGCGTGGGCTTTAACTCAAGCCCAGCCTGGCCAAAGCTCCCCGGGCACTGTTGGTGTAGCAAGGGCTGGTGCTGCCCTGGGCACCCCCTGTATGTATTTGCAGTGGTTCTCTGCACAAAGGTAGTATCAAGATAAAAATGATGTATGTGATGTGGCAATCCAAGAATGGAATCTGCTCCATGGATCTGTGTGCCTGCATTCAGGGGAGACCTTATTGCTCTGTACACTGACCTTAAGGAGGTTGTAGTGAGGTGAGGGTTGGCCACTTCTACCAGGTAGCAGTTAGGACAAGAGGTAGCAGCCTTAAGTTATGACGGGAGGTTCAGGTTGGATATCAAGAAGAAATCATTCTCAGAAAGAGTGGAACAGGATGCCCAGAGAGGTGGTGGAGTCACTGTTCCTAGAGGTGTTTAGGGAAAGTGTAGACGTACTTATGAACACAGGCAGTATTGGTGGTAGGTGGACAGTTGGGCTAGATGATCTTAGAAATTTTCTTCTGACCTTAATGATTCTGTGATTCTATGCATGCTGCATGTGTGATACATACCCCATGTTGTGAGTCCTCATAAAGCTACCACCTAAGGGGCTGTTTGGGTACTGGTGGGGACTGTTTTGATTTTATAAGCAACTAGAGAGTGGTTGGCTGCAGCCCCAGGTGTAAGGATTTGTAACTTCTGAAAAAAAAGATGAAAACACTGTCTTATAACACTGCTTTTTATCTCTACAAATTGTTCTTGATTTCTTGTCCCACCTTACCCTCAGCCCTCTAGGTGCCTTGCATGAGGAATGTGTTCACTG